GGGAGAAAGACAGGATAACTCAAAGGAGGGGACGGAAATATCCCCCACCAGTCCTGTCGCCTTTTACTCCCCTCAGGACCAAATCCGTTCACGTCTCTCTTTCTTCTCTTTCCTGCTCGCTCGCGCTCCTTAACGATGCACGGCACAGGGACGACGTTGCAGCTGCACGACTGCCGAATTACGTATGCATCTACCTTTCCCCCCCCCCCCTCCCCGCCCTCCGACTGCACACGCGGATGCGTCGCGCGAAACGCTCTCTTCTCGGAATGATGAATGGAAAATCCGATTTTATTTATCCGGAAATCGGGGGGAGGACCGTCCGCCATTTCGCATCGAAATGGATTTCCTCGGAGCGTGCAAAATTGGCTTTGTTTCGAGACCGATTGAAATGGAAGAGCGCGCTGTATTGAAGATCATTCCGTTTTATTGTTGTTTATCCATTTATTTTCGTTACGCGGCTATATTTTTTTTAGTTTCACTTAGCTCTATGTTCCGCTAGAAGATTCTCGCTATATAAACTCCGTAGCTTTCTCTGCTTCTCGCCCTGCCTCTCGTGCACTATAGTGTTTATAGAGATGCAGAATCCTTCGCCTGATATTGTAGGGAGAAAAAAAATATAACACAGCACCGCGAGAAATAAAACACGTGTATTGTATAGGGAAAGAAACTGCAGCTTGTTTCGCTAGATACCGTCGTTCGTGTTTAATGGAAACATTTATGTGCAATCGCAAGTATTTTTAACATCAGAAAATAAAGCTCCAATGTGACGTCATCGAAAATACAGTTGGGATATCTTATCATTACTACAAATAGTTCAGTAATATGTGTTTTAGCGCGCTTTGACTTATCGTTTTAACGAATGTAGATACGTTATCTTATCAATATAATTTCTTGTTAAAAAAATACTATCAAACCTAATTACTTCCTATTGCTCTGTTTCTCTCTCTTTTTCTCGTCTTCTCTTTTAACGGTAAAATATTTCATTTGCATTAAGTTTAAACGGATGCGACACGCATTTCTCCAAGATGATTTTCACTGTTTCTGTAAAATCCCTGGGAATGTGTTGTGCCTGTGGAAGATTAATTGGCGCTTCGAGAAATTTAGGTTTAACCACGTGCCCCTTTAAAGGGGCCTTGGAGAAGGAGCACCCGTTCCTTAATCTCCTTCGCGAGAGGATCTGTAGCTATCGCGTCCGAATGATTGTTTCTCGGAAACGAGGCAATCCGCCGGCGGAAAAATGGGGAAACAAGAATGGACGGTCTCGCACAGAACAACCCGTCTCTCTCGGCTCCTCGATTTTTCTGCCCTCTTTCTGCCCGGTTTCAGGCGCCGCGGGATGATATTTTACAAGCTTTAATTTGGGCCACAGCTGCCAGCAGTATCTCTCTCTTCCCGCTGTCGATGCTTCGGCGTGCTTGAAAATGTAATATCCAGTGCGAAATTTCCGCGCACGGTTGCAAACGCAGTTTAGAGACGGCGTTAGAATAGCTACGGCGTGAACAGGTGATGCGAGCATACGTAATGTAAACGAGAAGTAACGTAAACAAATATTCTCCTGCAGATTATGGAAAGGTGCGGTAACTTTTAGTACAGATGATAGGAAATACGCTCTCATAAGAAATACGGGAATCTCTTGCAAAAAGCAAGCGGTAAGGTGCAATATTTTTATCGAAACCATCGGAAGAAAGTACTTTCCAGAACAGATAGATGATGTGGAATTAGAATTAAACTGAATTTCTTTACAGCTCAATTAAGTTGATAAAGTTGCGATTTTAATTGTTGAGTCTCTTAAGAATTTTATGAGAAACGCAGTTATTTTTGTAGGTAAAATTAATAGTAGTCTTGCACGGTGTGATTATATATTTACGAGTGTTTTAAAGTTAATTTTGAAGTAAGGGACATTCGGCGACACGGAGCGCTCGGAAAGAACACGCCGTGTTGAAGAATGGAGCGAGGCGCTCTGCTGTTTATTCAGGCTGTGTTAACAATTTAATCGACCGACTCCACACTCGTTGATGACTAATGACTCGTTAATAATTAATCCTCATCGGGGCATTCCGAGCGATTTGTACGAACTGGCCGAAGAGAGAGAAACAGAACGCGAGATTAATTAGCTCAGAGATCGCGAGCGGGTGCGATGGTTCAATAGGAAGATCATTACGTTGACCTCGTGTTCGATATCGGCTGCTTCAATCCAGTTAGAAGGAGTACTTTGTATGTAAATCGCAATTTATATTCCGAATCGCCCTTTTGCCCCCGGGTCATCGGTTTTCAGAAACAATTCGCCGATATTTAGCGCAGACAATGAGATCTATCGCGAAAATTCAGCTTCAACTTGTTCACTAATGCAACGGCAATTCAATCTTCCAGCTTTCGTTATTCTTCTCAATTTCCCGAAACGCTTGTTAGACGAAAGTGAACCTACAAAACTTATAATCGCGACGAGACACCGGCTCCAAGTGAATTATTTTTCGCGAAAGGATCCATACAAGCGCGCGCTATGTACGTACATATCTAATAAAACTCTCATGCCTGATTCTCCCAATGCAGATTAACGTTGATCTCGGTTTAATTTACTTTTTCTAGTTTCAGGAATTGGAAAAAGATAAAAACTTAGTTAAACCGGGATTAAAGTTAATCTTCATGGATAGAAATGGGCATTAGGCCCGCTGCTATCAACGTCGCATAACTTTAACCTCGGCTCAATTCATTCTTTGGCTCCTTCTAAGGGGACTGAAAGAAACGAAGGCTGAATTAAGCTAAGTTTAAGCGACACTGATGAAACGGGGCCTTAATTCGCTTAATTTCTTAATTCGACGGAATGTTCTGGGTTAGTACCCGGTATTATTACTGTGAATCGCTCATTAAAAAGATATCAACGCTCAAGCAACACTGGGAGGTCGACAAAGTAAGCTTATTATACTATCGTAAAGAATTTCAATCAACAAGGACTGGAAGTTATAAACGAATTCGCACGTAATAACCTATTACCTGTTGGATGTCGCCGCAAGTCTCTTCACGTTCTCAAGTTCGAGTGGCGTTTTCCCGAAATGCGTTACGCGTGACGGGAGACGTGGGAGAAAAATTCTCAGGCTCGCTCATAACACGTATCTTTTTTCTCGCGTCCAAAGAGGCACGTGACGTCGAGACGACTGACTTGGCGCGACAACGGCGACGAAGACGACGACGATGTATGGTTGCCTTGGAGGACCCCCTCTGCCCTAAGACTCTCTTTCAGTTCGTCCTCGTCTCTCCCTCGTTCCCCTACCGCGAGAGAGAGAGGTGTCCCGCGTCCTCCCTTCCCCGAGAAAGGGTCCCCCCACCATTTTCTGCGAGGGGGAATGAAGCCCCCTCGATGAGCAGCCATGGGTAGTGATGGCAACTCCAACCCATTCGGACACCGGGCGAACAACACTCGAAATACGCGCGCTTTCGTACTTCAAGTCTAATCAAACTTCTCGTTTCAACCGACGTGGTTCACTCGGCGCGCGTCGTCGTTTGATTTTGTCTTGCTTTTTTTTTACTTGTAATTTGCGTCACTAACTTTTCGCATTTTTGCGAAATGACCGTATCGGTGAACGACTCTTAATAAATTTGGATAATCCAAATTTAGAAGCGACTATCGTTAAGATTGGACTCTCCCACGCCTTCTTCTCCGCGCTTATCTGAACTTACTATCCCTGTCCCCCCCCCAACATAAAAATTAAATTGAAGAGAGGATCCGTTTATATATTTGTACTTGTAATCCCTTGTACTCTCAGATATTTCAACATAAACTTTTCGCGGGACTTAAGATATTAAAGTCGTAATCCTTCCATTAAATAGAGAATAAATCTCGTGGAAAATTGGAAGCGATTTTGCATCCTGCTTGATTAGGCGATAACGAAAACCGGAGTAATGTGGACTTTCGTAGGGTTTCGACGTCATCACTAGCCATTGGGGGTTTCCGAGGAAGGGGCGTATCGATTGTCTCGCGCGTCTCGCTGTACATTGCGTGAATTCATATACGCGCGCGTGTATCTCGAATTAATCACAGGAAAGGACGCACTTTGCCTCTTAACAACTCTGCGGTTGTGGAATGTAGATAATATCGCGGAAGTACGGGAATAACGTTCGAAAAATTGCGAAAAAGACGGGAGAACGCGCTGTAAATGTACGATTCACATTTCACCGCTAAGCTCGCGCGAACTTCGGGCTCCCCTTATTATCAGCCGCGTTGAAATTTGCTTTCAACAATGTCCATTATATTCGCGAATTTAGCGCTGTTAAATAATGCGATAACGAGAGTCGCATGAAAATAGATTGCTGTGATTATTATACATTTTATAATGCATGTACTATTAATGGCATTTATAATAACAGCATTTATTAAATAGCGTTTCCCATCCCATCCGGGTGCGGCGCTTTTTAATTCCTACGATAAAATCCAACGATTTCATGAAACCCCTGAACGTTTAATGTTATTAATAAATAATTTCCCGCGCGGAATAAACGGATAGAGAATACAAATTTAAATATGACTTTGTGCACTTTACCGTACGCAATAAAGCGCATCGCTTCTGTGCGGCGAGCATGCGTTACTTTTACGTACACGGAAAAAAAAGATGTTGCATCAAGATCAGTGTAATTGAAATTAAATCGTTGAAACCACATTAAGGAATGAGAAACATCAGATAGTTGTCTGGATATTTAGTTCAATGCTTAAAATTAAAATCCATATCAAATACAATTGAGTGAATTATTTATGTTTGGCAACTTAACTTTTTAAAATTCATTTTTTCCGTGTACAGGTCTAAGTTGAATCTCATCGGGGGACGAAATATAGAATTTATCCCTTGCGTGTGTGTCGGATGTGTAAACTCTATAATCTCACACAATTAAACGTAATAAAACGTGTATTATATCGGCGCTCGCGGATGGAACAGAATGACCGATAAATAAAACAATATGAAATATGACGAGGAGAGATAATGTAATGAATTTGCCGGGCAAGTTCTTACCTACGCAGCCGGGTAACTCGGCGGCGGTCTCGTTCCATTTGCCATTTCTACACTCGAGCGTCCTTTTTCTCTCCCTGCTGTCGGGGAACACGCTGCCCGACTTGCATAGGAATGTCCGCGAAGTCAATGTACCGTTCGACACGTAACTTCCGTTCGGCGCCGAGACCTCCGGACAGCCCAGCACTGCAAACGGTTACTTCATTTCCATCTTGCCATCTCGATCTCAGTTAACGCCTCGTTCCACTTTAAAGTTACACGGCGATGTCTCGCCTCCCTCCCCAACCCCCTCAAAAATTTCAATTATAACCACCCCCGTGCAATTTCTGAACGGTAAACACACTAGCGAGCTATTAAAAGTTTTAATCGCCGAGATGGTTAATGAAGTGGCTGACGGCATTTCGAGAAACTTTTAAATTGGCGAAAAACTGGAAAAGCGCGGCGGAGATTCTGCGCTTAAAACTGGACTTCGTATTACTTTGATAATGTATCTCTGATACCCCAAGGTGTCGCGCTCGAACGTGAGAGAGAAGAGATTTATTAATAATCGCGCGCTCGGGGATAATGTCAGAGCGCGAGGAAATTGTAAATTCTGCCGTCGAAACGCTTTTCAAAGGGCAAACGTTTTATAACAAGCCGCCGTCGTGCGAAGCTTCTTGAGACATAAATTTAATATTGCCGAGGAGTCTCGAGCATCGATCGCGACGTTATCAGAAAAATATCATCCAATTTGGCCTCGGGGCGAAAAATTGAGAAATGCCGGCGGACGCGATGAATTTTAAATCCCAGAGTTCATCGGACAATTGTCCGAACGCCACTAATTAATCAGAACGCTAATTTTACGCGGATAACATGGCCGGCTTAATTTCGCGCGGACCTGGCGAGAGATGCTGTGTCCCCGCCGAGATTATTCCCGAGTTAACCGCGCGTGTTCGCGGCACTTTTCCTCCCGTGTTTTCGAGATCTCTCGTTTTTTTCCCCCTTTTACCTTGGTACTGCAGCAAAAAACCCCGGGCGTTGTAAAACCTCCTCGAAGCGACGAAATCCAGGGTCAGCTCGTTCGAGTCCGAGAGCACTTGCGCGCCCGCGACGGTGCCGCAGAACTCGAAGAGAGTGCTGCCGCGTTCCCGTGCTCTCACGATGTCCACGCAGCTTCCATCCGCGTTTGGACCTGCGAGCATTTATTCGCGGTGGAGTTTGTTTGCGGAAGAGGCCGCGTAAAATCGGGCCGGGCGCGGGGATGTTTATTTTTTCGGCGATCGACGGCGGGTCCCTTATAATCCGATCGGTGTCATATGTAGCGCATGTGTGCTGCCCGGGACGCCCTGTTTGCGTGGCAAACCGTGGTTACGCGTCGGCGAATCGCATCGTTATTCATTCCTACGGCTCGGTAAAGAGCTAAAGTGGATCGTTGAAACCGCGCGCGTTGAAATAAAGGCCGTAAATTTAAAGAAGAAATATACAGCGCTGTTTCTAATGTTGCCAGGGGCGACGTACATACGTGTATCCGCTTTATTTAAGCCCTCGAAAACTTTTCTTTATTTAAACCGCAAGTTATCTTCATCGCGGCGAGATTCGTCCGCCGCGAACGAGTTGGTCCCGAAATGCGAGCGATACAATTTTTATCAATTTACCTCGCGCTCCGGCGAAGAGGCTTCGGGGGATTGCGGGGTCGAAAACGCGAAAACTCACCACGGATATTCAAGTCGTGAAAGGTCAGGAGTATCCTCTGGCCCGGATACGTCGTGAAGACCCACCCACACGGTTCCCCGAGGTAGTACAGCGGATAACCCGGGGTGTGGATGTAACCGCCTTCGCCGATTACCTTCACGTCCTCATTGCAGTATGGCCTAACCGCAGCTTCTGCAATCGATAAGACATTAATCCTCCACGCGCGGTGGTACACTTGTACGGTACAGTGCAATTTTGTCTCGCGAAATGTGGTTTCGTGAAAATCAAGATTTACAGAGAAAATCGAAATTTATCTACCCGAAGTAAAATTTTGTACGCGTACCTGGTGCATAAAACTAGGTAGCTGTTACATATGTAAACGTTAAATTATTCCAATGAATTCCGGCGTATACGTGCGTTCGATAAATCGTGCTAATACAACGTGCTACCCTCCAGATGTCCGCCCTCTAATTAAATCAGAATTCTATCGTGACAAGAATTATTTTTCCGAGGGGGGACGGCGAGATCGGGCCGCGTTTCTGCCGCCATAAGGCCACCATTAACATCTGCATCCGTCGCGGTCCATTTGTCGTCGCGCGACACGATTGCACGGATCCCTTCGTGGCGCGTACTGCGGGCCAGGCGGCGAGGGTGTCCTTGCCCCAGTTTCGAGGAGCTGGGGGGTGCCACCTCTGGGTGGGGGCTAGATACGATAATAAGGGCGGCGGAGGGGAAATTTCGTCCTCCGACCCTCCCTCTTTCCCCTCCGCTGGCCCACCGGTGCGCGACGTCTGTGTGCGCCATTTCCGATATTCCGCCGACTGTGACGGCCCTCGCAAGGAGCGTTTTGTCCTGCTGTACGGTGAGCTTTTCGCTCGATCCGTCGATTCGATCGGGCGCTTATCTAATGAAACGCTTTGCATTCAATCGGGAGCGAGCGCCTCGAATTGTTCCCGATACCGACGCTTCGATACAATTCGGTTTGGTGAAACTTTCCTCGCGATTATTTACTCGGCATGGATTAGAAAAGAACTCACGGTAATGAAATTACTCAGTGAGAACAATATCGTGGCCTATTTACTCGGATAGTCCAATTACATGGTAATAAACGAATATATCTGATAAAGAACATGATCGGGCTCTAATTTTTCCATCAAATTTCATCAATAATTGCATTTCATCGGATAAAGGTATCCATCATTTAATCGGAAGACAAATTAACTATCGGAAACCCGATAATCGGTTTATTATAGTGGAAAGTTTTCTCACTGCTGAAATTTCCGAATTCAATGATTATTTTAACATCCAAAATTTGCATCAAGTTTATGAAAACATGGTTTCAATACAATTGTTAAATAATTCAGTGAATTACTGTTTTTATGTATATGCAAATGAATAATAATTTTATCATTATGCGTTATTCTAATGAATTATACCTCTTCAATATATGTTACATTCAATATGTACTCATACAAAGTTACTATATTACAGAATTATATATTATAGAAGCATTATCTCGACGGAATTGTAACAGATGCAGCGAAATCTATCGATCTAAAAGGTTGCAATGTCAGCGCACAAACATAATATTACGCGATAAGCGTAATATGGATAACTTGTGCACAGTTGACAAGTTTACGTTAAAAACAGATATCACATATCTAAAACGGTCCACTCAAACTTTTGTGTTAATTGAACATAATATGGATACGTTAAATGATCACGCTAATACTCTGTTAATATTTTAACACAAAATAAATGCAAGTCTCAAAATAATTTAAGATAAATTTTGTGCAAAATTAATATATTTTTAATGACAAAATAAATTTTATAAAACGTAATTTTCCAACTGTGTAACGCGAGGGGGAAACCGCTGACCAAAATCTAGTACACCAATGCCCACTATTGCTCAATGGGCATTTCCTTATCTTATTATCTATTTATCTTGTTTTATCTTATACCTTCATAATGCCCCAGCAAGGCCTAATGCCCAAACTGATGCCCAAATATGCCTAGTAATGCGGTTTCCCCCTCGTAACGGCTATAATGTATTCTAGCGCAATTTCTCGTCTTTCACGGCGCAGAAGTTTTCATTTATTTCGGGAGACGGGACTATAAATCGAACAATGAACAGCTACAAAAACGTCACGCTCCCCTCGCGAGGGAGCTTCCGCGGTGCATGCGATTCCATAGAATGGCGGGATTACATGCCCTTCCCGTGGCATCAGCGTCGCGCCCGAGCGCGTTGCGCATTGTGCGCGCGATCGGCCACGGCGTTTCTTGTCCCTTCGGTAGAATTTCAGCGCGTATGCCGGCGATCCCACGGCCAATAAGGATCATCGGCATCGTCGACAGCTGGCGGACTACGGCCGACGGCGAGATAGAAATCTGAGGCCGATTTCGTCGGACGTGCGGCACGTGACGTGCCGTGCATTTCTCCGCCTCCGCGTGACCTGTGCGGCCCCGGGGCGCTCGCTCTATCGAGCCCCGCTAGATCATCGATTGCGCACGCCCGAATATCGATCGGCGGAGAAATAGACCCTGGCCTTTCCGCTGATAAATAAAGCTGGATTCGTGATACCGCGAGTACCCTGTGTCGCGCGAAAACCGGAGCTGTAGTCGGTTTCGTTATGAAAATCGGGGGGGGGGGGGCGATCGCTGTTCAGAGTCGACAACAATCGAGACGAAATCTAATTTGGAGATACATTTTTAAAGCTCGACACAATTCGGAGGAAATTTAAGACGATTGAAGAAAATTGGAAATACTCCGGAGTTGGTAGAAATTACTGGCTTAATATTTCAGTTTACCGAGACTGTTTGTATGTATATGTCAGTGAGGTCTGTTTTCTTACAATAGATTTCTAATTAAATCGGGTTTTAATATTATACAATTATTGAGAATACACGTACCTGGTATGCAAGCGTACTTTAATGAAATTCCACCTGGAATCCAAGAATGTGCTGCTGGACGATCGGCAATGAGATTGTAGCGGCAGTGTTTCTGACCGGAGCACCTGCAACCCACAGTCGTATTAAATAAATAATAGAGTAGATTTTTAGAAAAGTGAAATATGATTGGACGACCATTTCGTCACATTAAGGACCGGTTGTTTCAATCTTTCGGTAAATTAACCAATAGTTAAATTATATATACCCAGCGAGAAATGACTCGTCGATCGATGTCGAAACGGTGTCAAATTGACGTCGATTCGACATCAATCGACGCATCGTGTCTCACTGGGTATATCTTTGTTTCGTTTCGAATTAAACAAAGATAGGCCCGGTTGTTTCAACTTTTTGATAAGCTAATAGTTAAATTATACATATGTTTTTTCTTCAAATTAGACAAAGAGAGATATACAATTTGACTATTAACTAGCTCACCAAGAGGTTGGAGAAACCGGCCCATAGACATACAATTTAATTATTAGTTAGTTTATCAAAGGGGTTGGAAAAATCGACCCTAAGGGCCGATTGTTCCAACTTCTTAGTAAATTAACTAATTAGTACGTCTTTGTTCTTCCTTTGAATCAGACAAAGATGGACATATAATTTAACTATAAGTTAGTTTACCAAGAGGTTGGAAAAACCGGTCCTAAATCTAACTATTTGTCGCACTGAAGCGCTTGAAAAATGTATCTCGTATACATACTTCATTTCCGCGTGAATAAATTGCAGTTTACGCGAGGTTTCGCTTTTGGATACTATCGATTATCTGACAGTCGCCAATTAAATAAGCGGCGTCGGTCATTAGGGGCTGTGAACGCGCTGACAAAAGCAACCCCCCCCCCCCCCCCGGGCTTCTTCTGGGGGGATGGAATTTAGGGGAGGGGCCGGGATTGTTGCTGCGCGATCTTTGTTGCTCGCGCTTGAAAGCAGGAGTGAATAATGGACGAGGGTGGATTTTCACCCCTTTTAAGAGGCCTCGCTGCCTCGCCCCCGCTACGTCAACCTCTTCTCGTCGATTTTATCGGTCCCCGGGCGGAAATAAAAGGGAAATAACATTTCACCCACGCTCGCCCTTGCGAGGAATCTCTTTGAATTTTTTAGACCCGCCGGCCGCGGCGGATTTTCAAATTGAAACTTGTGGTCCCGCGCCCGATCGTTTCTCTTGGGTAACGATAAGTCATCCGTTTGGCGATAAAATCGATAAGACTGTAAAGTTCAGGTAATGTCTCTGGAAAATTGCAACGAGGAAAATAACCGCTTTAACTGAAATTTAATAAAGAAAATGCAGGCGAACTAATAACGATCTTAATTATGCCCCGGAAATAATTGTAAAGGAAATGCATGTGGATATGTGAGATTTAATTATTATTTAATTATTACCACTTTAATTACGAAGGAGATACGCGCTCTTCGTATTAACGTTAATTTCATTCTTTTCTTTCGTCGTTGTTAATAAATTACAATTACTCATTACTTTTCCGTTTTTAATTCAAACAACTTGATATATTTTATTCTTTCGCGCGCGAGAGAAAAGGAGAGAGGTACAATCCCGGGGGTTTTTTTTTCTTTCGAATATAAATGAGACGTTCCATTTTTCCACGAGGAGCTCGGTGCAATTTCAGCGATGCAAAATTTACATCTCTCGCATTGCCATCCCCTATTTGCGGAATTCCCGGAGCGTGATGCTGTTTAAACGTAGGGGAAACCATTTAGCGGAGATCGTTTCTCCTTTGGTGATCATTTGACGTACGTTCCAAGGGAAAAGAGAGAGGGTGGGCAATTATTGCTTCAGGAATGCTTTTACCCCGCACATCAAACGTCGAGATTTTCACTCTCGACCCTCGGCGGATCTCGAGTGCGCGACGAGCGGCGGATAAAAACGGCGAGTGTATATCGGAGGCGAGATGGGGATGGCGATCGAGTGGCTTAACTGCATTTCGCAATAATGACTTTGCAGAGATCGTATTTCCGAAATATTTCTGTAGTAGCTTTGTTATTTTTTTATCCGCCTTTTGCATGTCTCTTTGCATGTCTCTCGCGCAATAATTATTTCAACCGTCGCTATTAATTATCTCGTACTTTAATTACGATTTCCTTGACGATTTCGATAAGTTTTGCCTAATAAAATATTTTCAACGACGTTTAATATAACGCGTTACGCATAATATGTTACTTCCTTTACAAATCTATAAAAATTATTTACGGCCAGATATTTATTCCAGTTATTGGTCGCATTTTGTTTATTAGAAAACTGTTTTCGCGCGAGAGAAAATGCTTGGGCAAGGAGAATTTAATCGCTTGTTTCAGTATTATTTTGTTGATCAGTTACGGCCTTAGTAAGAGTCTATTACAATGTTTGCAGTCGGGAGTAAACGCTCGGAATAAGAGATTGTTCTCTGGGACTGCGGTCTACCTCAGACTTTGCCCGTAACCAAACACTATCTTGTCATTGAATACTTGTGTCAGGAACAGAAGTCCGATATTACCAGCGAGTATCGTGAAAATTCTATCTAGCTGGCGAATCGTAAATAAAAATTATTTTCAAGTCAAAGCCGTGGCTGCAATTGGAGAATGCGATGCTGACGTAATCATTTTTTAAAGATTCGAGAAAATTACTCCAAACATGATTTGCTTACGGGACTAAATTAAACGAGTTTCTGGAGAATTTTATAGATTTTTCTACTTTTAAGATCAGTCGTCTAAAATTCAGAAACAATGCCAGAGATCTACCATTATATTTAGCCGAACAAAATAAATCTACCTGTTGTTCAAGGATGGCCTGATATCAATAATGTCCTCCTCGTCATCGAGAATGTAGTTCCCTTTGAGCCCTTTCGCGTTCGTCCAGCGTCGCGTGCTACCTTTGTTCGTCCACATTTTGAGCTCCTTCAAGCTTTTCGACTCGTCTTGACAGAGCTCCGTATGATTCGCGTGGTATTCCGCCTCCAGAATAAAAATGAACGCTTTCAACGATCTGCAAGCACGATATTAGATTGATGCAACTCAGCGTGTAATTTGAGAAGCGGATATCAATAAAAGAAATTTAGTTATCACGAATTAAAACATCAACTTGACATATTCTTGATCATCGTCTTCGGTGTCAAGTTATTAATGTGAGCGCGCGAATGTTTCATAAGATTTCTCAACGGTTGGTCTCGCGAACTTTGATACGCATTAATATTGTAAGTCGTCTTTAATAAGTTCGCAGTAGAAATATATTTGATCCTTTTTTCTTACGTTCTTTCTTGGATAAACGTTAAATTTTTAGCCTGCCAGTTTTTAATAATAGACTAAAAAAACTATTTACCTATTATTTAATGTATGTTGTTTTGCGCAGAAACGCTATTTTTGTTAATTAATTTTCTTCAGAAAGTTTACGTGTTAATAGATTCACAGTGGAAAATACATCGGTAAATTATAAAGGTACTATATTTTTCAAGCGTTATAAATAAATACGGGAGTTGTAATATTTCGACAAATATTACAAATTCCTGTTCACGAATAAATGATATATGATGCGATCCGCGTGGCACGCAAATTTAATCTCCTTGTCGCGAGGTATTTTTATAACGAACTAGAAATCCGAGTTTCTTAGAAGTTTTTCTCGAAGGGCACGATAAAAAACGCTGACGAACCTGCACGTCAATCTGAGCACATCGTGGGAGCACCTTTGTTCCTGGATCACCTCCATGTATCCTCCGTGCAGTTTCACAGCTTTCAGAATTCTGCCGAAAGGCGCTTGGGTGGTGGCGATGATCCTGGACGAGAAACTCGCCGCGAACGTCATAAGCAGCAGCATCAGGAGACTCGTCAGGGTCGTCGCTGCCGGCCACGCCATGATGGTTGATCATCACAGTGACCTGAAAGTCTTCTCGCGAGCCTCGTCTTCCGAAAGGGCCTAAAATTAGCCCTCGAGTACCACCGCGTTCCGATAAGCGAAATCTCTCTCTTCAGAAGGTAGACGCGCGCTTTCCTTTCGCCTCTTCAAGTTCTCCCACGGCCACTCGAATCGCAGCTCTGCCATCCGGAGGTCGATGACCTCTCGCCCTTCCCGCGAATTCGGTCCGATATTACCCTCTCGGGCCCCAGATAACCGCGAGTGAGGTTGAAGGGGGAATTTTTAGTAGCTGCGAATATTTTCGTGTACTTGTACCTGCGAACAAAGTACATCACTTTTATATCATTTGTACTCTAAAGTTAAATTCTCGTGTAGATAGAAGATAATGACGCTTTATCAAGTTAATGGAATTTTGTTTAACTGACAGCGAAAATAATTTAGTCGAGATTGTATTTCTAGAATACTCCGAATCTGACAAGCTGTCTAAATGCAAAATGGATCTGGTTGTGTTAAAGATAAAATGTGTACCGAAAGGGGGGAAAGTGTATTCGTCGGCGTTATTAGAGGTAGATTACTTTGCGAGCTTTCCCATTGAATGCGTTGAATCTTTAAGGTAGACCCAGGTCAAGAACTTAGAGCTGGATGAATAGATGCAGAAGACGGTGGGATAAGGGGGGGAGGAGATGAATCGTACGAAATTATGACGGTAAAAAGTAAGAAGTATAAAAAGAAAAGCGAACTTCTGGAACCGTGCCACAAGCACGGAAAAAAAGTATTAAGTAAGCTTTGCAATTTAATAGCTTACTGTACGAACTATTTTTATCCGAGGTGGCAGTTTCGAATACAAAAACTTTTTAAATATTAACCGCGACTGTCATTGCACGTTACAGTCGGTCAGTTTCTCTTGTTAATATAAACTATATTTTTATAACTGTCACGATGTTTTTATGCCAAAAATTCTATAGCATTACATAGGCTACTAATGATTAAATGATTAATGTATGACAATACTGATGACTACCTTAAGTTAATACAAAGATACTAATATAAAGACGTTTTTCAAATAAAAATTTTAACTATATTATAAATTACATTATATATTAGAATTTATATATAAATTTACCGGTTAAAAAATTTTAATTTTGAAGTGTAGCAGTTGACGCAAGTCGAGACTTACCCTCGGTTCGTGAGACTAGCCAGAGATCGGCGTCCCGTCCGCCGCGCGTCACGAAATCGCTCTGCAAACGATATTCTTCGATCTGGCGGTTCTTTCGATCGTTCTCCCCCTTATTTTTGGCCGCCGACCGACCTCTTAACTCTTCCTCCGCGATAGTGTGTTTGTTGTTGAAGTAAGTGGCCCCCGTCGTGATCAATCGGCCACGGCCAAGTTCCAAGAGCGGCCACCGAGGAGACAACAACGGCAACACGGTTTCCCTCGGTTTCAGGTTTGGTGCCTCAAGGACGAGGATTAGAATAGTACGGATAAACGATTTTGTATTTAGGCACTCGCGGATGACGAAACGCGTTCTGAATTCGCTTTGAAGGAAGCACCTAATGTGCCGAATGCTCGATGATTAATTGCACTTCACAGATCTACTCGCTTTCCACTGATTAATGGATACTCAGTTATTTTTTATGCGTCTATCGAGCGTATTAACGGGCATTAAATGCTGATAAATCAATTTTGTTCGATACTAAGTACGTCGATCGATTGATTCCGATTAATATTTATTATATGCACGGCCGCGACTGATTCGATTGATTCTGATCAATGTGTATCAGGTCAGTTTGCTATTTAATTGACTGTGGTTAAATGCATCACGTGCTGGTTAATCAACTCGAATTTGCATCGATTCTAATTAGATGTACCGGTATTGATTGTGTATTTCTGAGATACTGAATTGGAAAATTTGAAGTCAACTGTCATCAGACGTTGGTATCGAAGTCTTTCCAGTTCCACTCTTCAGATATCCTTTTTTTTTATTAACACTTACGCGTTTCAAGACTAAATTTTTATTTGATTCCGCTTAAAACTCGACGCAAGGAAAGAAATATATGTCTCCAAAAAATATACGCGACATAACGTCAACGAATCTTCTTCTTTTAATGTATACAGTATCAGAAAATATTCGCTCTGATTTTCGGAAATTTTAACAGCATAAAAGGCAACACGGTTTTGTAAAATGTTTTGTAAAATGTTAAAAAAGTAACACTACTCCTGGAACACAATACTGGTTAGTACATTTAGCTTCACGAACACAAGAACGCAACACAGTTCGAAGAGTATAATGCTCTCATTTCACTTATGTACAAAACTATTTTAATATTGCTCGAACGACACCGCTCGAATCACCATTCGAAATATATTAATACCTAGTCTAATACAGTCGTTATTCGAAAAGCATATCTTCAACACTGTCCAAACGTTACACTTGTTTGATTAACTCAGCTTATCCTGGCACTGCTCGGCGTATCAGGTTTCGCAACTAGAAAAGTATTCCTTTCAACGCTGCCACTGGACGGCACGTTTGTCGGTCCCCGCTTTAATATCCACCGGCGCGAGTTTGTAAATCGCGGCGAACACCCGCTCGCGTCGACGATTCGTTGGCGTATGGTGCCGGGCCAGCCTGATGATGCCTGGCCTGCTGCTACTCCGCAGCCATTGATAGACAGTCTAAGCCGTGAATTCAGCGACGACCAGCCAGCCAGCCAGCCAGCGAGCAAGCAGCCCGGAAGCGGCCGGTGGTAGTTTCGGGGGGGGGGGGAAGCTACCCTACTACACGCGTGCAGGGACCTCTCGGGGGTCCTGCGTACCCCTCGTGCCGTGAATCCGTACCCCCGTGCCACGGGCGCCGGTTTTCGCGCTCTGCCCCCTCGTTCGATTCGCTCGTCCCTCCGCTTTTGACGCCGCGCCGCGCCGGTTCTCTTTCTTCTTCATCGACGTTGATCCGGGCAGCTGAAGCCGGCAGCTGAAGATTTTCGGGTTTTCACGAGGATCGCGTGGAATAAGGTGTCACGCAGAATCAACGCGAAACAGTAGAATCGAAAAGTAAATCCGCACACCGATGTGATTGATATTTAATTGCTGCTCGAATCTCCGTTGAGCGTTCTTTGAAGAATTTCATTGTATCGATACTTGAAGTTTGAAGAAAAATTCGTGTCGCTGATTGCTTTAATAATAGTCTCATTAAGATACGTGTTTATCCCCGAGTTTTTACATTTGAAGAATAAAAAATGATGATGCATAAAAGCACATTTTTAAAATAAATGATCAGCTAATTTGCTTAAAAATAAATTAATTGAAATTGATTTGAAATTGATGAGAAACAGTGAAAGTTAAATCTGATTTAATTTAATTGAGAAAGTTTCTAACGCGATTACCTAAAGTTTCGGAAAAGTTTCTTATCTTTTATAAATCTATTACGCTGTCAGCGATAATTTCACGGGGAATCTCTTTCCTAAATATCCACATTTTCGAAAGAAATGGTTTATTTGCCGGGGGAGGAGGGGTTGGTTACTCTCTCTCTTCACTATTGATTGTATCTTTCTCGGTCCCGAAAACCGAGCTCTATTGTCCGATCTAGAGATTTGATCATCATGATCGATCCATTGTAATCGGCACGCGCGTACTAGTAACCGTGCATCTGCATCTCCGCGCGACAGAAACCGTCGAGCTTCGTCTCGTTTCGGATGTACACCGGTTGCCATCGATCTCCATTGTCCCTGAATCGAGAAAGGCGCCTTGAGATCATTTTCCTCGGTGAGGAATAGGATCGCGATACGCGAGAAATTGCATCTGCCGCTACTGAACACGTGCTACGGTCGTTCGTCATCCTTTCAAGAGGGAAACCCAAGTATAATCGATAGATAGTCAATTTAAAACAAACCTTTTTTATAGCATAACGTTATACATTTTCCGTGGATACCTTACGTTATTTTATTAAACACTTTAGTGTGTAAGACGTTATTTTCTATTATTTTTATTGTAACTAAAGGGATCAATTCACGAATCAATTTTCTTTCAACAGGCACGTGTATTTGTCGCGAGTTTGACAACCTATTTTGTAGAAAATGATTTTTTTGATGGTTTATTTTAATAATGCAAGAATATGAGACAATATTTGGAAATAGGAATTCTAGTAGCACACACACACACACACACACACACACACAATATGGATAATCATAAGTTAAATAACGGTTTATAACGTATTAACTTAAAAATAACCATTTATTTTTTATAAAAGATATATTTGAGACGTTTACCTTAATTGTTCACTTAAAGTATCTATAACATGTGGCGATCGATGGCACAGAGGATTGTGCGCTGGTCTGGTAATCCGAAGACCCGGGTTCAAAACCAAACAAAACATTGTTGGTTTTTCGTTCGATCGCCATAGAGAAGTGGATGTAGAGAGAGGTGTTATAAGAGGTTTGGGCACGTTCCTTCAAAAACGCCTTGTAACCCTAAGGGGAATCAATAAAATGTATCTACATCTACGACATACATTTGCTACCTCCCGCACGATCAGTGCATCAACGAAATTATCCCGGCAAAAGTTCACGTCAAGATACCCCATATTCGCGGGTATTAGCACAACCTGTAGATCAACGAAATTATCCCGGCACAAGTTCACGTCACGAAGACATACATTTGCTACCTTGCAATGTATGTCTTCGTGACGTGAACTTGTGCCGGGATAATTTACTTGTTCAGCAGGTTGTGCTAATACCCGCGAATATGGGGTATCTTGACGTGAACTTTTGCCGGGATAATTTCGTTGATGCACTGGTCGTGCGGGAGTTAGTTTTGTTTCTAATTGCTCGATATTAGTGATTGAATATTTAGATTAAGGTAAAAGTGTTGCTCACATTGCCCAATTGAAAAGTAAGCCTTAGTAGTAAAAGATTTTTAAGATCATGTGTGCATTAAAATTGTTTTGTTTCTATGATTTATGTATATGCGTATAAATACACGCGCGCACGTGCATGCACGCACAAGCCCACACACACACTCACACGCACACGCACACGATAACGCACACTCACACAACATACGTTATTTATAGAGTGATATAAGTGTATAGTTACACATTGAATTCTATTTTGCAAAATCTGAATTATGCATCGTCGACAATGGCTTTTGTGGTAACGGAAGGTATAATAAAAAACTAATAATGTTTATGATGAATTATATGATTGCGTTTTTTTATAGCTATTTTAACCGATACTAAACCACGAAATAACGTGTGAATCGATCCACCCTCGGATCGAGAAACCGGACCGAGAACCCTTGCACGCTGGTGCTGAAAATTAGATCGACATGTGCGGCCGGTTACGGCTCGTTTAATCCACAGACTCAATAGAAGCTTAGTCAAATTGCATTTCTAATTCCCTCATTTCATTTTTCGCTGCACGCTTGAAAAATCGCCCTGACACTTCCATCCGTTTCGCTCCAATAAGATTTTATTGACCAAACATGATCGGCGGTTAATTTTTGTACAAATTGATAATAATGATTCTCGCAAAAGAGTTGATCCAAATTCTAAAATTATCCTCATAATGCCATAGCTATCATACGAACGTTGAAATACTGAAATCAATTTAATTCCATTTACAAATTTATTTAGACGCGATTTTAATTTAATCTGCGAGTTTTTTTGCCTTTAGTTTAACTTTAATTTTCTTGAAAAGTCATAGACTTGCAATAAGAGCAAACTATTTTCCTAAAAATGCATTTAAAATCTTTACAGATATAAATCGTGTGAATTCATGACAATCTATGACTCTCGTGCGATCCTTAACAGGATCATACGCTACGTGCACATTCGTTTTGTAAAGGGGCTGTCCCTCCCGATCGATCAGCTAAGGATTATGTATCGAGTTCACGTAAACTGTGCAACAAGCACGATTCATTTGTGTAAACTTCTATTTGTGGTACTTCCGCGATTTAACTTACGTGCTTTCTATTTTTATCATCTCCAATGAGGTCAATTTGACGTAGTTTATTTATATACCGCACAATTTCTGGCCTCAAGAATAGTTAACGGGCAAAACTGTTTTTAAAATGTCCCAAAATGATCGGAATTATGTGAGAACTGTCGAGGATTGTCGAAAAGTCGCGCGAAACTGTCTGTGCCGCATAATAGGTTAAAAATGTGGAATGTAGCTGTTCAATTTAAAAATTAATTAAAAATGACGAGCGGAACTCTCGTTAAATTTGATCAAGAATTATAGAACTGTCCTAGAACTATAAAATTCTGTAGTTGAAATGATAGGAAAATTTCTACCCTTTATTTATATTTTTTCTTCTTTTTTGTAATTTCTTCATCCGTAGTCTTGAATGACACGCCATAAAAGCGCAAATCGAAAATAAATGACCCGCTTTATCTTGCTTCTGCAAGACATCACCACTTGTTGAAGAAGTCGGTAGGGTGAGTCGGGCGAAAGGACTCTTGGAATAATTTTAGTGCGATCGATGGTTACTTGTCGGTGTTTTTTTGGCCTGCAAAATATAACAGAGCGCGGGAGTGTTTGAGCTTTCGTGCATTTCTTCCTTCTTGCGTTAAACGCTATGTCTAAATCCCACGCCGGATGAATGACGCAAACGAAAACAAGCTCTGTTCTTGTCTGCGAGGCAAAGCAAACGCTTCGCATTCGCGAAACTTACGAAGCGCGTGAAAAATTTTAATGTGAAGCAAAAGTCCGTTTTATTTGCTTTTTCTTTGAGAAAATGAGGAAGCAACGAAGACTTCCAGCAAATAAACGAATAAAGTTGTTTGAAAATATCTGTCGCAGAAACGGCAGTGTCAGATATTTCGTAATAACTTTAATTATAAAAGCAAATCAATTACGATCACACAGTTGCTACTGAAAATTTAGCGTATTTAATAAGAAATAAACCTACACACTGTTACATTATTTACGAATACTGTCGACAGAATACTTTATTTGATTTTTATAAAGTTTACAAACTATATGAGATATTCATTATTTTTGTAAAATTGCGACATATTTTAATACAAGGTTTATAAATATTCAATTACGTTACCTTTTTATGCCATTTGTATTAATATTTAAATTGAAAACGAATGAAGGAAAACACTTGGGAGAAACATGGTAAAATGAGAGATTGATTTTCGTGAGAAATATTTTATTCAATTTATTAAAATAATTTTATTGAAAAATAAAAACCAGTACTATTTTCAATTACTATATTTGTGAAGATCACTACAGACGATTTATAATTTACAATACGTCAGAATTTCGGACAGAACTTTATTTATAGTTTTATATTTTTGTATGTATGTCAAATTTATATTTTCAGTTTTGTATAAATAATAAAAACGAGAGCAATATATTACTCTAAATAAAAAATAATATAATATAATAATATATTAGTTTGAATTATATTTGTAAAGATTACATTGAACGATTTATAATTTATGTCAGAATTTAGGGCAGAATCCCATTTATAATTTTATACTTATAATTTTACATTCTAATATACATTTTATTGCATTTTGAATCCTGACTTGTGAATTGTAAATCGTCTAAAAATAAAGGTGTCTTTGAATAGACAGGCTGCTT